TCCATCCTATAGCACATTTTCCCCATTTGTAAAACAGAGCTAACAGTCCTATCTCAGGGTTGCTCTGAGGATTAAATAGGATAATTTAAGTGATCAACACCAGTGCCTGATTTAGTAAGCCCTTTGTGAAGTGGTAGCAGTAATTTGATGATGATAATGATCATTTGGGGAAGAAGGTATGGATGGAGCAAAGTTGTGGGTGGTAGCTTGAGTCAGAAAGATGACTAATATGCTGAAATGATGTGCTGAAACCATTAAGATTTAATGGTTCAGATTTAATTTTAAGACTTAAAATTTAATGGAGTCAAATATGAAACCCTGCCTATAGGTTTTCAAAATTTCAAAAAAAAAAAAAAATAGTTCATGGCTTACAAAAAAAAAGAAAAGACCTGATTTTGGCTGACATCAATTTGAACAGAATCTAAGGGGTTTTGTTGACTACACAATCATAGGAACAAACAAGGAGTCCCAGCTGCTTGACACCAGGGTCACTCTAGCTGGTCTTCAGAGAGGTATAGTGGCCATAGCTCCTCTGACTGCATATTTCCCCCAAGCTCTGGACTGGCTGGGCTTGGGGGAGTTAAAGGATTATTTCAATTTCTAATTCTTATATTTTTAAATCACCTATGACCCAGTCACAAAGGGTGAGAAGTTCTGAAGACTATGTCAGTTGAGGAACTGGAGTTATTTATCCTGGAAAAGATTCGTATAGAGGAGATATTTTAACCATCCTAATATCCAAAAGAGTTACTTGAAAAACAATCAGATTCTTTTTTGTTGTGGAAGGTGTAAGTAGATTTTAGATAAGGATTCCTGAAGAGAATGGAGTGGGACAGAATGATACAAAGTCAAGTAAAATGTTATGGAGGAGATCAAATAAGGGAAGACAGCTTCTGATGACCACAGGATTGTAGATTTAAAAAAAAAATTATTGAAATATAAATTACATATATTAATAGTAACATACAAATCTTAAGTATAGAGAGGGATGATTTTTCACTTATGTGTACACCCAGGTGACTACCACCCAGATGAAAGGATAGAACTTCCTGTCATTTCAAAAGGTTGCCTCATACCCCCTTCCATCCAATGACTGCCCTCCAGCCCATAAGTAACCACTTTCCTGACTTCTATCACCATATATTAGTTTTGTAACCTTCATGCAACCACTTTGGAACACTGTTTAGCAGTTTCCAATGAAGTTAAACAAACAATTCTACCTTCTGATCCAGCAATTCTATTTCCAGTTGTGTATCCAAGAGAAATGAGTTTTGGGGTTTTTTTTTAAAAAAGCTTACATAAGAATGGTCACAGGAGCTTTATTCACAATAGGCCAAAGCTAGAAAACAATCCCAATATCCATTAGCAAGAGAATATGTAAACATATGATATAGCCACACAGTGAAATGCTACTCAGCAATGAAAAAAGAATGAAGTACTGATATGTGCTGCATGGAGATGAATCTCAGAGCCGTCATGTTGAGTGAAAGAAGCCAGACACAAAAGAGTATATACTCTCTGATTCCATTTGTACAAGTCCAAGATTATAGATTTTAGTGAAAAACTTTCATGACAATTTGATTTTGTATACCTAAGACGGTTAGGGAAATTTCTTCTTTCAGAAAAGGACTTATATGAAACACAAGATAGCAAAGAAGTGGAAGAAAAATTAAATTAATGCCAGCAATTCAGCTTTGCTTAAATGAGAAACATTTATTTAACATTCCTTGTTTCTGCAGTGAGTAATGGAATTATGTGATATCTCATTATTTCCTTTCCTTTTGTTTCCTCCTTAGATTCTAATTCTTTAGAGGACTTCCTGGCAATAATGGTAGCTGAATGCCACTTACAAAAGACAGAAAGGCACTACAGAGTTAAAGTCTGCTCATACAAAACCAGACTAAAATGATTCTGAGTTGCTTCCTCAAAATAAAATTTCTGAATAAATACCAATAAATTTCCAATAAGACAGTATTAGAAAGCAGATGACTTGTAATTCTCTGCTCAAAACTTCTGATACTATCATTTTCATCACTACTAGAAGTCACTTATTCATCTCATCATTTTACCCAATTCCTTAGTGATAAAAGCATAAAACCATAGGTAGGCAGATGAAACTATAGAAAAGAGATTAGTGGTCACCAGGGGACATGTATGAGGAAGGACAGGGAGGGCACAAATATGAAGGGGTGACATGAGGGAGTTCCTTAGCAATAATGCAATAGGTCTGTATCTTGATGGCTGTGGTGGCTATGTGAGTCCAGATATGGGGTAAAATTACATAAACATGCTCACTCGAACTTATGTAAAAATGGCAAAAAATGAATAAGGTCTGTGATTTACTTAATAGTACTGAAGCAATGTTAATTTCTTGGTTTTTGTTTTTATACTGCAGTTATATAAGATGTCACCATTGGGGGAATTCACAGGACTCTATGTACTTTTTTTTACAAGTTCCTGTAAGCCCATAATTATGTCAAATTATTAAGTATAAAAATTATAATAGGCAACAATAACCAAGCCTCAGCCTTTTTTGAGGGCCTGGGGATGGGGAAATGAATGAAGTAGTGCTCATGGGGTAAGCAGCCTGTAGTAATTAGCTTTCTCCTTAGGGTAGCATATGTGGTTTGTCTTAAAAGCGAGCCAAAACACCAGCTCCTGCCACTACGTTAGATGTTAGGCAGTTATTAAATTAACATATGGTTAAAGAAGTGACTGTCCTGTGGCAGGCACTCTGCAGATGGAACACACTAACTTTCACGAGGTGTATAGGCATATCTGCTCAATGTCCAGGCTAACAGCACTTTATATGATAAATTCTACCTTTGTCTGTCTTTTCTGTCTGTGTCTGTATTTGCCTGTGAACTTGCTTCAGATAATTTATAGAACAGAATTCTTCCCTCTAGCATCATCATCTTTTAAAAATTTAGTTATTACACGTATATCATAAGAAACTTTGGAAATACAGATAAACAGTAGAAAAGAATGCCTATAACCCTGCCACCCAGAAACAAACACTCTTGATACAGTATTTCCCCCATATCCTCAGGATACATTGTATGACCCCTGTTTCTTCCCATACCTATGATAAAGTTTAATTTGTAAGTTAAGAATAGTATGAGATTAACAACGATAACTAGTAGGACAATTATATAATAACAACATAATTAATGAAAGTTATATGAATGTGCCACCTTCTTATCCCACTTATCACACACACTGTGGCCATAACTTTTGCAGTTTGATGTGCAGCCGTAAAACTAGCACATGTTTCTTTTTCCTTGTTCACAATATCAGTAGCAGATTCATTCTTACCGCGTAGATCTTAGCAATGTCAGTGTACAATTTTTTTTCCTTTCCTTACTAAGTTGAGAACTTTCACCTTTTCATTTAAAGGAAGCACTTTATGGCTTCTCTGTGGCATATACGAATTGCCAGCATCTCTGCTCTTGCACTTTGATGCCATTATGAAGTAAAATAAGGGTGACTTGAACACAGGCACTTCAATACCACAGCAGTCTGATAACTGAGATGGCTATTAAGTGACTAATGGGCGGGTAGCGTCTACAGTGAGGATATGCTAGACAAAGGGGATGATTCACATCCCAGGCACGATTCACGTCATGCCATAGTACTCAGAATAGCACGCCATTTAAAATATATAAATGATTTCTGGAATTTTCCATTTAATATTTTCAGACTATGGTTGATCGTGGGTAACTGAAACTGCAAATAAGGGGGGTATACTCCTGTACTTGGAATATGTCATCCCAGTCTTTTTATCTCTGTGTATATAAATGCTTATAAAAATGAATATTAAATCATATGTTTTATAAACTTATTTTACTTATTGACATATGCACAATACATTTCCCCCAGATCATTCAACTGCATGCTTTAATGACTGCATGGAATTGCACCCTTTTAACATACAGCATCTTAACCAATCTTCTATGATTGGACATTGGGCTAATTTCTAGTTTTCCATCATTAGAAACAATGTTGTGATGAACAATTTTTGTGCATATTCATGACTATCTCCTTAGGATAGTCTTAGAAGTGGAATTGCTAGGTAGGCAAAATGTAAAAGCTTTTGATTTATATTGCCAAATTACTCTGCAGAAAGATAAACATCATTTTAAAAAATGAAAATTGTAAACCTACCAAAAATTTTATTTGAATAAAGATACTCTATGAGAAGGGAAATTTAGGGTCAGTTTCTTTAGAGTGATTCATCACTTCTTAGAGCCAAGTTGCTATTACCAAATAGATGTAATGTTTTCATAGAATTAAAAGAAAAACATTGAAAATATCTAAATAAATAAGTTATGCATAAATATTTCACTATTTCTTATTTTTTTAAGCAATCAGAGCAAAATAACTTACTAGCATAAAAAGATAGCAAATAGAATGGGCATGCCACTAGTAAGGAATGGGAATCTTACATTTTTAACAAACGCTATTAAAACTGAATGTGAACTTCTGGAAATTCAGTACAAAGGAACTTTAGTTTAAATCTTACCACTAAAGAATTATTTATTTAGCAATGGGGTTTTTACAAAATCTAGATAATTTTTCTTCACATTTGTATTTCATACACCTATTGAGGAAACTTTTATAAGTGACAAAGAGGTCCAGTTCGTCTTTCATATGAAGGGTATTCATATAATATGTAAATTTATATATTTGTAGCTATACTTTGCTTGAATAAACTCAACATATGAAAATTCTATTTTACTTTAAAATAGAAGATGATTGCTGAAGAGTTAGCCTGGTGGATTTTAAACCATAATTATTTACAAAAATATGAATTACCATTAGTTCTGCATATCACCCAGATACAGTAAGGAATAGCTTTAGTTCTTGTGAAATGTGTGTGTTAACATATTCTTAATTTATGTTTTATTGGACTTATATATTTAAAATGAAAGTATCTTGAAAATTATTGTTCTTTGTTGCTGCAAATTTACAAAAGTTCCTCCTTTCTTTTTCTTTAACAGATATAAGCTTACCAAAGTCGGCAACAATATGCTACACAGCTGCCTTGCTCAAAGCAAGAGCTGTCTCTGACAAGTAAGTGAATAATAACTTGTGTGGTACTAAATGCCTGACTGTACTTAAAGAGATGTGTTGCCTCTGAGGGCTTTCTCTGGAAGTTTCTTGTAGTCTGTGAGACCCCTGCTTATGAGCATGCATTTTCCAAAACCTGCTGATCTTTTCTTTCACTACTAGAAGGAGGGAATGTGTATCCCCAGGTATTGTAAGGGTGTATGGGTCCCTAAAGAGGGATTTATATGAAATTCCATACCTCTGAGGTGACTTTTTTTCCCTATCAGACAGTAGATACCAAAAGGCCTGCTTGGGACTTACATAAAATGCCATCCTTTTATTCAATTTTTGCATAATCCTCTTCCTTCAGCAGTCCACAACTGGGTAGTAGTCATACAAACATGGAACGTGGCAGAGGGGCTGGTCATCTCACATTCTCTTTGCCGCATAGATGCCAGATCAGCTCCCCACCCAGGGTCTGTGTACTTTGAGTTGCCATCTCCATGGGACATTTGCCCATTTTATTCAGGCAGGTCACTATGACATACAGAATTTTTATAAACACCCAAAGATGACTGGCAGGTGAAAGAGCATAGATGGCTTAACTGTTTTTGAGTTCATAAACATTTACACTCCCCCGATACAATCCCGCTGTAGCATCGAAAAGCAGAGAACAGGAAAACAGTCTCTGCTGTGTCAGACAGGTTTGCTGTTAAGTGTGTGTGCACTTCAAGACCGAAGTAATTTTCTTTCATTCTTTTTTATCCTGTAGATCGCCAGTACCTACTGCAACATCTTTTCTCCCTACACAGCGACTCCAGCTTGGGAGGGCAGGGCCAGGGTTGTCACAGCTTCCCCTGTGGTGTCTGCCTGCCAAGCACAGCTCTGGAGTTAGCCCTGGGTGTGAGGTGAGAAAGAGATTGCATGGTCTGGTTTTTTTCATTCACTTGGGCAGGTGTCTTGCCCGCAGTTTGGGCATGCACACCCCCTTGCCGGAATGGCCCCAAGCAGGCTCGCCTGCTGCTGAAGCTGCAACAACTTAACCCTCCTCGCAGCACTGACATTGGGTGGGAGCCTCCTTTAAAATTCTCCCCAGTTCTGTTTTTAACCAAGTGCGCTCTTCTGTAACCTAGTTTTCTCTTTTTCCTACACTGTCTGCCCTTGTCAGTCCTACCCCCTCCTCCTACCTAAGCAGGTACCTCATAGAAAATATAGATTAGCTATTTAGACAGAGAAAGATCGACAGCTGAATTTAATTCCCGCCGCGATTAGCTGCAAGCACGCTTTCTGCTTCTGCTGGGGTTTTTGTTGGCCTCAGTCTGAGGGGTCACTCAGAGGTTCCATGTAGTGGAAGTTTGGAGAGCTCATGCCATTGGCTCGCTGTGGTTTTATGGGCCCTTGATGTGTAGATGCCTTTTCAGGTTGATGCCCAAGCAGTGGTCCCAACTGGATGGTGTTTGTCTTTCTGCTTTTCAGATTCTCTCCCGAGGCTGCATCTCGGCGGGGGCTGAGCACGGCAGAGATGAATGCGGTAGAGGCCATTCATAGAGCTGTGGAATTCAATCCTCACGTGCCAAAAGTGAGTCTGTTATGATAGCAGAGAAAGCGTTCACTGACCGCAATGTCATGTCTTGAATATGCCCAGTTGTGAAAAAATGAATTGCAACCAACAAATGTTGAGGCCTGTATAGTCTATGGGCATCAGCTTCATTTTAAGCTAAAGCTGCACTCAAGGGGCTTTGGAGCTGATTTTCAGACTTCACACAGTAAAGGTAAATTGATAGACTTTGCTTAGGCCAGGTCAGAAAGTCTAAAATTGGCAAAATGTGGAGAACTCTAGAGTATTGATGCATTTGATAGGAATTTCATACCAGTTATGGTCTTACCTTGACCAAACTTGAGAAATAAACATTATTGTGAATAAAATTGATTTAAAAAATTGACTAATGTGATATTCTGTGACTCTATAAATAAACAATAGTTAATTAGTATTGGCAATAAAATAATAGAGAAAACCTCAAAGTATGAAGTATTTTGATTTGTGTTGTTTTAATTGTTATATATAGCATAATAGAAAATATTTGTCTTAGTTGTTAACCACATGATTGATCAGTTTACATATATACCTGGTATTTTCCATATATTTTTTCTCAAGTTGATTTTAAGGGAATCAAATCAGGGCATAGGATATTTCTGTAATCTTTTATTTAGGATGAACATATATTTATGACTTACCTGTATTTGAGTACCTGCTATGTGATAGGCACATGGCTGAGGGCCATTTGCAGTCTCACTATTAAGCACACTTTGACCTCTAAGAAACTTCCTGCAGTTCACATCAGGTATTACAAACCTTAACTTTCTTGGCAAAATGTCTGATGAAGACTCACTGGTGGAAATGACAAAGGAGAGCCGTTTTTTGTGTTGTAGTACTATTACAGAAGGATGGGGTGTGTGTGTGTGTATGTGTATGTGTGTGTGTGACATGATTTATGGAGTTACCTACTTTATTTTGCTGATAGCCAGAGTAACAGAGATAAGTGATCTAATATCATTCCTGGGGTTTTGCTCAAGTCAAGGTCATCTTTTCACTTAACAAGAAATTGTGGTACACGGTGCCACATTTGCATAAGGATGTATTTATCCATTAAATCTTGTGGATAATGACTGATGTAGTATTTGTAGACTTATGTATTATATATATGTGTTATAAATATTTCTCCTTATATAATTTTTTTGCCTAAGCTAAAAATGTTTATTCAACTTTGATTAAATTTCAAAACTAATCATGAAAATATTATCCTGAATTACAGTAAACTTAGGCCATCTGTTAATATTTATTGAATCCCTTTTCTAACTATAGAGATATTCTATGACTATAAATAAGGCTCTTTTAGAAGTAGTATTAAATAATAGAGTCCTGGATTCTGAGACAAAAACTTGTGCTCTGGTTCTAGCTCTGTCATTTATCAGCTGTGGGACCTTGGGTTTAGCATCTCTGAACTCAAAGTTTCCCCTCATCTTTAAATAAAGATAAAAATATAAGCCCTGTCTGTCTTCTGTTATAATCAAGTGAGATAGTACATTTGAAGGTCATTGAAACCACTTGAGCACCATAAATTTGCAAATTATTAAAATTATCGATATTTGACTTGCAGGAGGCCCCTCATATCTGTTACTAGGAACCAGATCTTAACTTTTCCAGTTATCATTACTACAGCCTTGTAATCCTGGAGCACAAGCTAGAAAATCAGTCCACTACTTGTCGGTTAGATATTTTGATTGAGGTAGTCATTTAATTCTCTGAAATGGTTAATTTAGCCTCTAGAAGAATATTACAAGCCCTTAGGAAAAGTTTAAGGCAGCCATGGAAGAATTTGACACAGTCAACTAGCACTCCAGAATAAATAAAATTATTCTGAAAGTGGAAACATTTGAAATATCTGATTGCATTCTTTCTAGTTATGAAACTGAAAGAAGGTAGGATACCTAGGTAAACTGCTTCTCCACCATTTTGCTTTGTTGATGATTATGCTGAGGGGGAGTCTCTTTCCACCTCTTGTCTATTGACATTTCCATGGAGAAAGGGCCCTGTGAATCACTGGCCCCATCTGTTCAGAATTAGCCACAAACCTCTGATACATGTACACTATAAGTAGTGTGCTGTAAACATCCTTTACACATGCCTCCCGTTTATTGGAGTGCTTGCTAATGCTTTAGCAAACACACATGAATTGGTGGTACTTTTGCAGGGAGAGAATAGCCTTAATTCTAGAATATGAAACATCAGTGAAGGGCATAAACTTTTAGACTCTTAGTGTGAGAAGGGGCCATAAATATCATCTAGGTCACCTTCTCATCCTAAGCCTGACTCTCTACTCATAATGATGTTATGATAATTTTTATTATTGTTTTCTTTTGAATGTTTATGTACCAAGCACAGTGCTAACTGAACTACAAACGCCCTCTCATTTGTTTTTATAACAACACTGTGAAGTGTATTACCTTACCACCATTAAAAGTCACCGCCAGGAAGCCTGTTCCTCCTCATCAGAATTAGTCTCTCTCCTTTGTGGTCTCTCACTGTAGTGCATTGATTATGTACTTGCTATTTACCAGTTTTTGAGGACAATTGGAGATATTAATGATGATGGTGATTTTCACAGACGAGGGCACTTAAGGTTTGGAGAGGTTAAGTAACCTGCTTATGGTCATACAGCAAATAAATAACAGAGCCTGAACTGATTCTGGGTTATCCACTCTTAAATATTAATACTGCCCTCCAGTGCCTCCCAGATCCCACCAGGGGGCAGACCAGCCAAGGCTTGAACCCTTCAATAATGGTGGGCACATTGCTTCCCAAGGCATTCAATTTCTTACAGACAATTCAGATTTCTTCAATATATTATCATATCTGAAACACTTTTATGGCTTCTTTTTCTCTATCACAGGAAGCTGTCAGTGGCCCACCACAGGAATTTTCAGTTGTCTATATGCTATTTTACCTAATTATAGTCTGCTCAGAGGGAGAAAAATAATACCAAGTGTAATAGCTGAGAACTACCTTCCATAAATTTCCAGCTTAGCTTCATCTGGTATCTCGTTAAGCAAAGGTACATAGGTAATATTTCACCATCCATTGATAAATATTAATTATTTACCCCAGGAGGCCTACTCTTAGGAACTCTTTTCACCTGCAAACATGAGGAGTAGAGGAAGTAAGTGTTGCTCCGTACCACACCACAGGACTGGGAAGTAAATGGAAGTAGTGAAAAGACACTGGTCCCTGTTCTGAAGGAGAGCCCCTAAAGTAGTCAGTTAGATGCTACACACTAGAATTTCTGAAATTTTATTAGATTGCAGAAAATTAGTAAGGAGGAAACAGACACATAGACTGATCATTACAAATAAAATTGTCACTGCCCTCCTGCAGCTGTGTCCCCACCTCCTGCAGAAGAAAGTATAAACTCCTTGGGAGATTCTTTAGGACTTTTCATAGTCTGACCCAACTTGGTTTTCACTTGCTCCATCTCCTTCTGATGGTCTGTTCATCATTCCAGAAACATCCTCCTCCCTTTCCCCCTTTGCTTCCTCTAAGGAAATCCTACTCATCCTTAACCCTTACCACCATTAAGAGTCACCACCAGGAAGCCTGTTCCTACTCATCAGAATTAGTCTCTTTCTTCTCTGGTCTCTCACTGTAGTGCATTGATTATGTATTTGCTGTTTACCACTTTTTGAGGACAGTTGGAGATATTAATGATGATGGTGATTTTCAAGAACTAAGCAGGCAGTTCAAGAAGGCAGACTTCTCTAATCCATTAGAGAATCTTTTCCATTTAATGAGATTAAAGTAGGAGCTTTTCAGTTTAAAGGCAATATTCTCCATTTTTAAAAGAAATTTCACTCATGATGCTAGACAGATGCAGGGCTACCCTCATCTTGGTTTTATACCTTCAGCTTTGTGTTGTTGTAGTTTATTGGATTTGTGGCCTTTTCCCTGCAACTATGATCCCCCACTCACCCTGCTCTTTCTCAGCAATTTCACAATTTACATTGAGGTGGGGTGAGGAGAGATATTTCTAGCAGTGATGCATTAATTACACAGATCTGATAATGATTATGTGCTCTTAGCATGCTCCATCTACACCGCAAGCCTGTCCCTGTGAGGAGACACATTTTTGTCTTGAAGGATGTTACATAACTCCTTCAGGGGATCAAATAAAAACTTTCATTTTCTGACAAGTTTTCAAAAAAGAGGCTAAATTATTTGTTTGTTACAGCAGTATTAGATATGTTTGTTCCTCTGTAGTTCTATTATAAAAACAAATAATTTTTTATATCAGAGAAAAGTATAAAGAAATCGTAATACTATCATCTAGTTATATGTAAGACTACTTCCTTCTGGCCTTTTTTCTATGCATTTTAGTACTTAATATTTAATACTTGAATATTTTAAAAAGTTATCATAGGTCTCAACTTGGGCTTTATGATTGGGTGTTGGAGGTAAATTTATTGTTTCTTCAGAAGGATCATCAGATTTTCAGAGTTCCTTGACCTTAAAAAGCTTATCCTCTAACTTAACTAGTTATCCTTTAACTAATGTTAAAGTTTAAGTCTTTTATCCATGTGCCTTCAAACAGATAGTCTTTGTAACTGGATACTAATTTTTGTGTGTGTGTGTAGTAAAAAACTCATAATTTGAGATCTATCTCCTTAACAAATTTTAAAGTGCACAGTACATTATTGTTGACTGTACACACATTGCTGTATAGCAGATCTCTAGAGCTTTTTCATCTTGCATGACTGAAACTCTCTTCCTATTGAATAGCAGCTTGCCATTTCCCACTTTTTCTAATCTGGTGCAACCACCATTCTACTCTGATTCTATGGCTCTGACTATTTTAGATAACTCATCTAAGTGGAATCATGCAGTATTTGTCCTTCTGTGGCTGGCTTATTTCACTTAGCATAGCATCCTCAAGATTCATCCATGTTGTAGCGTATGAGAGAATTTTCTTCTTTTTTAAGGCTAGATAATATTCCATTGTATGTATATATCACATTTTCTTTATCCAT